GTAACTGCAGAGAGTTATTATAAAAATAAGAGATATATAGACTGTGGGACATGTGGCCACAACAATAAATGATGGTTACTGTTAACAGTGATAAGAACACACACATGAATCTTACTCTGGTTCAGTTTCTGACAGTGCTGCTATTTGTTGTGATGATGGTTGTGTCTCTTAATTTACTAGATCAAAATTTGATTTAGGTAGAGCTTAAGGTTTTGTTTTCATTATTAACATTGCAGTATACTTACCAGTATTTCAAAATCACTTTAAATTTACAATAAATCATATATTTAGTCATTCATAAATATAATAGCATGTAATTGAAAAAAGCAAACCCTAGTGTTCTCTGAAATAAGGTGAGTACAAATAAATATAGACATATGATCACATTTAATTATGAAAATACACAGAAGCAAAAGATGTTGTGGAAATATTGTTATATTTCATTTTTATTATTTTATTAGAATTTTCATGTTTGAAAGGACTTACAATTAATGCAATTTATTTCCCCAATGAAGAAACTTAGAGTGATCTTGTAGCTTTACTTCTGCCAAGGAATTCATTGAATTCTCTGACTTTATTGGTTGAGAGAAAAATTTGGTGCTTCATTTTCCTTAGAATAAGCAAGATTTTAGTTTCATGGAACTCTATCTCTATTTGCCATTTGTGTATTTTTCTCAATATTTTACTTATAAATTTAGAGATTGACTGTCTTTCTTTGTGAACATTTTCAGTTAATTCCTTCAGCTTCACTTTCAACTATATTTTTAGTGTCTTTAGTACCAGCTGTTTGCAAGAGAGCACTCTATTAGGCAGGGGTGGTATTTATAAAGAAGGAGAATTGATTATTGCCCTCCAGAAATTTATGCTTTTCTGGGATAATTAAAAATTTTCAAAATAAACATATAAATCCAAGTTAATGAAACATAAATGGTTGAATTGTGCCACATCACACACAAACACACATACACATAAATATTTCAGTTGGAGTCTCACTCTGTTGCCCAGGCTGGAGTGCAGTGGCACACTCATGGCCACCGCAGCCTCACCTGCTGGGCTCAGGTAATCCTTCCACCTCAGCCTTCCAAGTAACTGGAACTATAGGAGCGAGCCACCACGCCTAGCTAATTTTTTGACTGATTGTAGAGATGAGGTCTGGCCAAGTTGCCCACACTAGTCTTGGACCCCTGGGCTCAGACAATTCTCTCGCCTCAGCCTCCCAAAGTGCTGGGATCACAGGCTGAGCCACCGTACCCAGCCACAACATATATTTAAAAATTTTTAAGCCTGTGAAGGCTGGATGGACCCAATATGGAAATGGTCACCATATTTGAGGGAAGCACAAGGATTATCAGTCTCCTTGGAGTAGAATCATGGAGAAGGATGTTTGCAGTTGGATGTTAGGATCTAACCAGAGGGATTGACAGCATGCAGAGCACTTGAGCAATGAGAACCAGAGAGCTGGTTCATGCGGTTGTACTAAAAAGGGGCCTTTGTTTTTTTTAGCTCTTAGTTTAGCCTGGATTAAAGCTCTCTAGTGAAAAGAAAGAATGCAAAGATACCTCCCATGACACTGTTCATTTGGCAGCATTGATCACATGAGGATTTTAAACTGAAACTCAGTTTTCCCATATCAATGCTAAACTAGATGCAATATAGGATAATAAGTATGACATAAAAAAAGGAAGAGTTATGGAGAGGAATGTTCAGTAATTCTCAGTAGGATATAACATAGAACAGGGTTTGGATACTATTTATGTCCTCAGAAATTTATATACCAGTGTAAGAAATGCAGGTAATAAGAAGAGTAAATTTGAAATACTCACAATGAAATGAAAATGAGTTCAGATATATTATGCTCAGACTCAGTGGAATGGAAGGATGTATCTCGATCTTTTTCTAGTGGGGAAACTTCAAAGAGCACTTTATGGGCATTTACAAAACTAAGAGTGGAAGTATGATTTATGTGGTTCTTCCGATGAAATTTAGTAATTTATGGATTTCAATTGTGGGCATTGGAATCACTTATGCATTTTGACCAATAAAATGATTGATTAAGCTTCTTTTACAAGATTGTTGACCTAGCTACCTAGGTTAGAATAAGAGAGGGTTTGGAGATAGAGAAAAAAGCTAGAGTTGAATTAACTAGCGCATGTAGCCATTGATGCCCCCCCAAAGGCTACTGTAGTTGTAGATGGTCAGTAAATTTTTTCAACATATTATTAAGTACAATTCCTAGAATAGGAGAGTAGAAAATGTGGAGGTGCATCTATTTTTGTCTGAGCACCATTCAGTCATACTTAAAATTGTTATTAGTTCTAGAAACCATATTTTGAGATATGAATGAATATATACCAAAGAAATGACCAAGATGGCCTAATAGCTCAGAACCATCTCAGGAAAAATGACTGATATATTTAGCTTCCAGATGGTAGACTCAATAGATATATGATGATTATCCTAGCATTAAAAAATAGGAACTACCTTCCTCGGGCAGAAAAATTGTGTGTGTGTGTGTGTGTGTGTGTGTGTGTGTGTGTGTGTGTGTGTGTGTGTGTGTCTGGACTCTGGGATTGGGTCTAAAGAGTGGAAACTACAGAGAAGGATGCTTTGGCTTCCTTTGGGGGAAAAACTTTCAAGTAATGTGGGTTCCTTGCCAGTGGAACGAATTGCCTTATAAGGTAGTGAGTTTCTCTCTATTGCTGCAAATTCATACCTATTTAGACTAGAAATTGTTGTAGTGTAAACTTTTCAAAGCATTTAAGTTTTGGTTGTATATGCATTGGAGGGGTTGAAAAGTGTTGTACTAGGTACTTTTAAGGCCCAAAGAATCCCAAGTTTATGATTTTAGGTAGAGGCAAAGAAATGGCATGGCAAGAATCCCTTCTTCCTTTGTTTTTCTTCCCTGTGATCCATCTTTTCCCCCCTTCCTCCCCACTCTCTCCCTTGTTTCTTTCTTCCTCCTTTTTTCTCCTCTTCTCACTTTCCTTCCTTTACTTCTACTGACTTCCCTTTCTTCCTTACTTCTCTAAAAGTCTAATTTGTGCCAGATACTCTACTAAGTCCTAGGAATGCAGTGCAAAGCAGACATAAATCCTGCCTTTATGGAACTTATGGTTTTTGTAGCTAGATAAAGTTTTCTACTCTGATAAATACTGGAGGAGAGCAAGGTAGCATCTATACATATCAAGGGAATCATATCTGTTTTGGGAAGACTGGAAGAATTCATTAGGGTGGGGATGGGGGAAGAGAAAGAGAGGGAGAGATGGAATCTCTTGGAAGTGGAAATGATTCAGTGAAGTCATTTAGAAGTGAAAAAAGAATTATGAGTTTTGGCAACATTTTGAGGCTGCATCTGAAAAGAGTGATTTACTTGAAGGAAACAGGGAAGATAGGGAAAAGGAGAGCTGGCTTTTTAATCAGGGAGATACTTAGATTGTTTCTGACCTTATTGCATGTGAAATGCTAACAGGTCTGGTTTTCATTGATTGTTTAGGAAATATAGGTTGATAGTGATATGATGTACTAGTTTGATAACTGTAACTTTCTTTTATCTCAGCATTATTTTAAATCTCAGTCCTTCACTGGTACTTATTTCTAGGCTAACTGTAAAAAAATCATAATGCCATCCCTCAAGATTACAAAAAACAACTGAATGTTTATGTTTATTGATAAAATAAAATTGAATTAAACAAAAGGGTTAAATAGAAGCCATGGCGGTTATTGTATTATTCAAAAAAAGAGATTCTGTCAACTTAGTGACTGCCCAGTTATATCTATGTAGTTGTGCTTTTGCATATTTTTTCCAAGGTTTAGATCTAAACTAAAATTTGCATGATGAAAATGTTATACATGTGGAAAATTATGGGCCAGTTCTTTAAACATTATCAATAACACCAAAATTGTAAAACCATTTCATTATGGAAAATTTCAAACATTTACAAAGAAAAAGCTTAGTTAATAAATCCCTCATCTTCTCACCACTTAGTTTCAATGATTTTCAACTCATTGTCAATTTCATTCCATTCATACCCTTATCTTCTTTGCCACCCAAATTGTTTTGATGAAAATGTCAAAATCATATCATTTTGCCTGGAAATATTCCTGTATACCTTTAAAAAGATAGCAGTCTTTTAAGAACATATCCCCAATAATAGTAATATGCTATGCATTAAAAATAATTCCTTGATGAAGTAAAAGTGGTACCTCATTTTCTCTATTGTTTTTAACTTTTGAAAATTTAATAATATAATTGGGACATTTGACATTACGTGAATTAAAGCTCTGACACCTTCACAGTTTTTCCTCTTGGCATGGAGATTTGGAATTGTATCTGAATTACCAGAAACCACTGTCACTTGGTCAAAGATGTCCTATCATGATGAGGTGAAAGTCACACTATCCCAGTACCAGTCAAGGTCATTTCAAATTAGGCCTCAGACTCCATTCCTACTGCATAGAGAATTAACCATGAGATTCCATGACTAATGATTCCCAGGAAAGGAACCTTGGCTATAAAGTTGACCTGGTACAAGTAGTTTCCAACAGTTTGTGTTCTTGCTGTTATGTGGCTAGACTGTCTCGAGTCAGAGACTCACGGGGAGTCTCATGCAATCCATTGAGTTGTCTGGAGACATCTGGAAGCTCCATGCGCCTGGGTGACCAAGACAGACTTTTCCCATGTCAGTACCTCCTCTGAGATGGCTGACATAGCTGGGGACTAGTGGCATCTTGGTGGTCCCAGAGTAGGCTTCTGACCCGATAGCGGGATTCCTCCTGGTGAGTAGTTCATGGGTGTTTCATGTGATGCCACTTCCACCTCATTCTGTTAATCAAAGACTATTTTATAGGCAAGCCAGATTCAAAGGGAAGGGTGTAAACACTGGGGAGTAGGTTTCGTTGGGGGACGTCTTTGGAGCTACCTTACTATTTTACTAACTTTTTTACATCTTGCTATCTCTTCCCCATGCCATGGATGATTTTATATTTGATTTTTTTGATAGGTTATCAAGGATCCACCTCCACCACCACCACCTGCACCAAAAGAGGTGAGTGAATGTCTACAAAAGGTAAATTGATGCTTCCCCCTGTATGCAAATATCCCCAAATATGATCAGTCCCATTTGTTGTTATGTAACTCTGTTACCCTTGTATTTATTTATTTTTATTTTAAAATTGTAGGGTACAATTCAGGGTTTCATATACAAATATTCATTGTGCAGGTACCCTTGTTGATGAGATATACCCAAGTATTTACTTTTTAATTTATGAATATCTGTCATCATTTTCCATCTTCTTATGATTTCTCTCATGTGCTAGAGGCATGGGACCTTCATACGTTGATAAGCATAAACTGACTGTTGGGATCAGTCATCCACAAAAATTGAATATACTCTGTATATATCAATAGTTCTGATGTCACTTATTCTATCTACAAAAGAAGATCCAAGCTATCAGTTTAAAGATGATATTACTTTCTTAAAAATGATTCTTGCTTTTATACTACTTTGTTAGTCAAAATCATATTAGCAACATGAATTTAAAAATGTATTGGTACTGTGCATTTTCAAAGCTTCTCAGCTGCCTATCTGTCAGTTCATATTTCACAGAGTTCAAACTTATACGTTGATGTTTTAAATGATTGCTAAAACGCTGTCCTAATTTTAATGTTTTGTCCACATATGGCATGATTAATAAATTTGAAATAAACAAATGGTTCTCATAGTTAAATAGTGACTTCTGGTCACCTAGGGGTAATATAAGTTTGAGTAAGAGGAGGATTTCTTACACCCCATGGAGCTCCAGTCAAACTATATACATGTCAGCATAAACAAGTCATATGTCCTAGATGTAATTGTTCCATAGCCACTGTGTCATTTGGAAAAAATGTTTAAATGTGAATTAGTGCTGACTAAGCAATATTTCAAGGAATTAAATAAACCCACTTTTAAAAACGTCTCTTGATAGGAGGAAGAGGAACCCTTGCCTGCTAAGAAGTGGCCCACAGTCGATGCCTCTTACTATGGTGGCCGAGGGGTTGGCGGGATCAAGAGAATGGAGGTGGGTCTCAGAAAAAAAGAAGCTGCTACTCTTCAATGTGCATTTTCAAGACTGTTAGCCATGGGTACTTGACTCTCACAGTTAAATATTCTAACATCACTTACTTTTATTTAACACTGGGTCTTTTTTTGGATACATTTTTTTTCTATGGAGTCATCCTAGCCATTTCAGAACTGTCCAAGGAAAAACAGTGTCATTAATCAAAGGATTACATTGATAAGACCTCTGAATTCTAAAGGACAAAACAAAGCTAGGGTTTTTCTCACTATTTTGGAAAAAATTACGGCACAAAATATCAGCTATGAAGAAACCAGGCACTTAAAGTTGCAACAATGCTTTTCTTTGAAAAGATGCAATAGCTATGTACTATTTGAGGAGAAAATGCTAAAATATTCAAGAGTATAAATATGACCCTACCACAAATATAGAGAAAATGCATTTAATACTTTATAACAGCTTTTAGTTGCCACTTGTAAACTATCATAATTAATACTACATATCATTTGTGGCATGCATTGAACTTTCAGACTGATTCAAAGTGTGGATTAAAAGTGAACTTTAATGTTATATCTTAAAAGCCAGATGAGGTTTATTTATCACCACAAACTATTTTTTAAAATGATTGATTAATAAATAATAAGCTGTCATTGCCAGCATTGAGCCCTTAGCAACAGTATGGACAGGCCAGCATCCCATCTCAGGGAGCAATTCAAGTGCTATGCATGAACACACTGACTTTTTCGTTAAACACAGATGCTGGCATTTCCTCCTTATTTGTGATCCTTTAATCTTCTTGATAAGATGTTTTTATGTGTTTTGACGTCATCGCACATCTCCTGTTGTCATATCCGCTTTGTCCCATTACTGCCAGCAAGAATCAATAAGCAAATCAACAACCCCAGAATTGTTACATTTTCAGATTCCCAAGAAGAGTCTCACTTTTTCAGAGTAAATGTCACTATTTTTCAGAAGGAACCCAGGCAAACTTAACAAGTTTGTTGTTACTGAGATGTTTATACAAGCCACTTTCTCAACCTATTAGATCTTAAAACAATGCATGTTTTTCCTAAGAGCTTGCCACTTTATTGCTGACGTATCCTCTGAGGCAAGTACTTCATTGCCAATAAGCCATGGTACAAGGCAGGTGCTAGAAGCTATTACATCGGCTTTGGGGAAGGTATTACATATGTTTTTGTGTGTAGCTAATGGGGTATCTCAAGCAGCACAAGGGAGTGTGGCTATGTTAGTTCTTGTTTTTTGACATGGGAGAAAAGTTATTTTTCTTCCCCTTGCCTTTACCGTGTCATTCTAGGCTCAGAAGTTTAGGGAAAGACTGGATTAGATGTTTCTATGTGTATAAAAAAATCCACTTGCAAATAAAACTGTTATATCCCCATTTTTTTTTTTTTTTTGAGTTGGAGGCTCACTCTGTCACCCAGGCTAGAGTGCAGTGGCACACTCACAGCCACTGGAGCCTCAACTTGCTGAGTTCAGATTATCCTTCTGCCTCAACCTTCCAAGTAGCTAGAACTACAGGCATGTGCCACCATGCCTGCTATTTTTCTGATTTTTTAATTGTAGAGATGAGGTCTCACCAAGTTGCCCAGGCTGGTCTCAAACTCATGAGCTCAGAAAATTCTCTCACCTTGGCCTCCCAAAGTGCTGGGATTATAGGCATGAGCCACCACGCCCAGCCTATATCTCCATTTAAAAAAATAATTTATTTGGTAATGATGTGTACTACTTTATCTTCAGAATAATATTTTAATTCCATTTTGATATCCTCCCATGTAAAATATCACATGGTAATGAAGTGAGGATATATTAGTATGTGAGCCTTAAGTGAATAAATGATATTCTTACTGAAAAAAAGAATAATGTTAGACTTTTGTCAGTCCAATATTCCAGTGTTCTGAAGATTGAGATCACTTTCTAAGAAAAGAAGATGCATAAACCCCTGAAAAGGTCTTGAGTTAAAAGGAATATTATTGGTTTATGCTCAAGAGAGTCAAGAGCACATGCACATTACTAAGTAACTCATAATTCAAGTTTCCAGTGTTGATTCTTAGTTGTGAAATTATATCAACCCTTAATTGTGAAATTATATTGCCCACCCATCCTTTTCAGTTGAAGAACATTTGTAAAGAAGATTCAGTCAAATTTTAATACATCTGGATCCATTTTAGTTTTGGATAAATTTGGTTACCTTGTATGGAGAATTCTAAGATGAGAATAATAATGAGGGAAAAATGGTGGTACATATGTGGGTGTTAACGTAGGAGATACCCAGTACATGTTGACTATCCCTCATCCAGAATGACCAGAAGCATTTTGGATTTTGAATTTCTTTTTCAGATTTTGTAATATTTGCACATACATAATGAGATATCTTGAGGATGGGACCCAAGCTTAAATATAGAATTCACTTGTGTTTCATAGATACATTATACACATAGCCAAAAGGTAATTTATTCAATATTTTAAATAATTTGTCCATGAAACAAATTTGGTCTGTGACCCCTCACATGAGGTCAGATGTAAAATTTTCCACTTGTGGTATCATGTCATCATCAAAAAATTTTGGATTCTGGAGCATTTCAGACTTTGGATTTTCAGATTAGGGATGTTCAACCTGTATCTAAAATACACAGTGAAAATTGAACTGAGAATTAAGCATTATTAAAATTTCTGAAACATGTGCTTACTTAAGTTGGAGAGGGGAAATAGAAAACAATTTATTTTAAAATAATTTGTATTCAGACCTGGAAAATACTTATCTTAAAAAAAAAACCAAAAAACAAAAACCTTAAACTAGAGAAAGCAAAAGGAATTATAGAAATGATGCGCACATCTGGATAACAGAACAAATCTTCATAACTAAGTATTTTAAACTAGTATAGGGATTTTTCCTAGAATTTTTTTTCTTTCTCCTCCTTTAAATTAAATATTTAAACACTATGGTAATGGGAATTTGCAGAAAGCTGGGGCTGAGCTGATGTTAACGACAGCTGTTAGCACAACTGATCCACAATACTTAATGATTTCAAATGTGTGTTTCTGCCAATTCAGTGTGAAACTGTTTTTGTTTCTTTTCTTGGTTCTGAAATTGCTCTTCTATGATATAACCTCCTTGTCATCCAAATATGCTCTGAAAATTATGAAATCTTATTGTTTTTAATGAAAACCAAGTGGAGTTGGAAGAATTTGGCTATCAAGCCTGCACTATTAAGCAAGGCTTTCATTAGCAATCTATTCTTGTCATTCCTTTGTCCTTTTTAATTGTTTCAATGTGATCAAACTAAAACATTAAAATGTATACATATAGATGTGTATATATACCTAACTGCTTTTAAGAGTTTTAGGAAAGCTCTATAAAGTATTTTCTGGCTTTAGATTTGAGATTGAGTGAGAATTGTTTGTGTTGTGTGTGGTGATGGTGAATAGCTCCCTCATGAACTAATACTAATGGATTTATTTAACAGTTCTCCTTGAGGCCTCAGCATCTACATTTTATAAGCATAGTCCTTTGGTAGTGGAGTCCCTGAAAATGACACATTGGGACAGAACTCTAATTTAACTGTCTTCATAATCTTTATCTGAGAATGGTGCCAATGAAGCTTGAAAGAAGAATAGCATTGCTGTTACCTCTACGATGTCAGCTGTGAAGGATGGGCTAGGGAGCTGGATATGCTAAAACCTATCATTTTGAATGGATCTAAATTTTATCTATTTATATTTCTACCTTAAATTACTCTTCTAAGTTCTGACATTTATATGTTTACTTAATGGTGTATCTCCCCTATTTCCCCCTTAAAATGGAGACTTCATAACTGCAAGGATATGTGTCCTGGTTTTAGAGTTTTAAATTCAATTTAGCTATATCTAAAGATTTTGTGTTAGTTTATCTAGGTGAAGACACTCTGATTTGAAAGAGAAGGTCATTTCTCTGGATAGAAAGCCAACTATTCAGCTTTAAAGGTTTAATGGTGTTTAAAACAATTTTAACAACCTCATAAAGAACATTCTAGTACCATTGATCACACTGAAAGATACAGATACATTTTAATGACTCAACAGGGCCCACTTGAAATTGAAAACTCATTCTAAAATTGCAGTAAAAAAAGGTAAAAATATCTAAGTAGTCGTATCCAAAAACTTTGAATAGTTCTTTCTATGCCCCGTAATCTTCTGCCTTTCTACCCACCAATTCAGGTCATAAAACACTTCAAAGAGTCTTCTCCCTTTTTTCCTTTCTAGAAATCATTTAACTGTGATGTGTCAGAGTGTGCCCTGGATAGGTCATGGTATTTCTTTTTAGAGTTTCACTCCTCTGATCTTTGCCATTTTTGGTAATACCTCTGGTTTTTGTAGGACTTTTCACTGCTACCAGTTGGGCAGAGCCCTTCTTGGCTGAGGGCTGCTCCTATTCACATACCTAGTTTGGCTCAAATTTGGGCCTTAATTTCTGTTCATTGAAAAATAAAGAAGACAATAATTTGCTCCTGTGGTTTTTCAATGTGAAGAGATTTCTAACAAAATTTCCTAAAATTTGTGTAATTCCCTGGTGTTCCTGAATTTTTTTTTCAAAGAGGTCAGATCTGTCTTCCTCAATGAAAAATCCATATGTCAAATTATCATAATCAGATGAGCAGAGGAACTGAAGACTGAAAGCTACTTTCCCAAGTAAAACTTTATAATAGTAAAGAAAACTCATGTAATTATTTTACTTTCAAAGCCTAAATGTTTATATTATACTTGCTGCCTCAACCACACTTGCTGAAAAGTTTGAAAGGAGAAATTTCTTTGTGTAAAATACATTTGTAAAATTCAAACAAGTTTGCAACTGATTAGCCTGCTTCAGATTGCTTATGTTCAAATCCCTGCCCTGCCTATACTATCGTTTGGCTTTGAGCACAGCACTTAACTCTTTGTGCCTCATCTAGAAAGTAAAAATGTCGTATCTGTCTCACTGCATTTTTTAATGAACTAAATGTAGACCGACACATAGGAATCACTCAGTAAGTACTATCATCATTTTCATCTTTTCCCCAGTGTCACCATGATATATGGATATATGTTTAGCTAGCAGGTGAACACACCTAATTAGAAAATAGAATTACACACTGTCATACAGTTCGTATGTAAGCCACAAACTCACTCCTCATTTGAAACTATGGAGAAATGGTTGCTTAAAATGTAATTGACTCCAGGTTTTTGCAAAGTGTCTTTTTTCTAGGATTTTATATTAAATACAATTAAGGAGTGATGAGAAACCTATTAATGCTCAGAAGGGGAGGAATTAGGGGTCAGTATTCTTATACTTATCTTCTTTCTGACTCTGAGATGGTGAGCCAAAGACCACAGGCTCAGAAAGAGTTTACTCCTCTAGGACACTTTGGTGACAATGTCTGCTCATTGTTTGAAGGTTCGTTGGGGTGATAAGGGGTCTACCGAGGAAGGTGCAAGACTGGAGAAAGCCAAAAACGCGGTGGTGACGATTCCCGAAGAAGCAGAGGTGCCCGTCAGGCCTAGGCCACCTCGACCCAGATCCATACACCAGCCTTCTCAGACAAAGTGGTACACGCCGATTAAGGTATGCATCCACATTTTGGGTAATTTAACTGAAACCTCCTAGAAAAACTGACTTTCAGTCCTTCCTTCTCATAACTGCTTGAAAGAGAACTAAAGTAGATCAGATAGCAGGTATTGATCTTATACTTTAACAACTGAACACTTTCTTGGCAGTAAGAACCTCCAAATATTTGGTATTTACTTATTTATTAGAATTATTTAGGAAAGAAATGAGGGTAGAGAATGTGACTTTGTTTCCTTCATTTTACCTCTTTATTTGTTCAGCAAATAGAGGTTAGTACATTTCCTGGGGACTTACACATCTCATGTTTCTTCAGGGCCGTCTTGATGCTCTCTGGGCTCTGTTGCGGCGACAGTATGACCGGGTTTCCTTGATGCGCCCTCAGGAAGGAGATGAGGTTTGTACATGGGGATGTGTCGGGAAAGAGCTGACTGCCTGGTCATTATAATGAAGACTGGGGAATATTAATCAAAGCTATTTTAAGCCCTTATTGCACTTGAGGAAGGAAATATTGTCTAGGGAAAATTCTTATTATATTGAGTGCTTACTAAATTGTTGTTAGAATGCATCTTCAAGCTGCATGTTCACACAAGTTCACTTTCAAGTAATTCATAAAAACTATGGTTACTTGCACACACGTCTTGGTAAGCACGCTCATTGCTTCAGTCCTTGTCTTTGAAGACACCACCTTCTGAGGTTTCATCTGGTGAGAGCAACAGACTGGGGGTTGGTAGCTGAAATCTTTCTCCAGACTTTCATAACCATGAGGCCTAAGGGAGAGGCCTCAGAGCCTCCATTTCTCTAGGTATAAATACATTCTCTGCCTTCACCAGTTGATTCCATCTAATTTCTTGAATATATATCAGAGTGTCTTTAGAGTGATAAGGCATTGTACAAAACTGTGATTGTGACACACACACATATACACACATACACACATACACACGTACACGCATATGTATGTATATTTTTCCAACCAAGGAAGCCTGTTTGAGGTTTGTTTGTTTTGGTTTGGAAATTTGCCTAGAATTACTCTAGTTTAATAATTTTTTAATATATTAGTACTATTTCCCATTGTATTGATGTAAGAAAAATGCCTAAGATCTTTTCATGTGTAACAGTGGATGGGGCTGGCTCAGAGACAGTACTGTTCGTAATAGTAGGATTGCTTCATTGTGTGTAAATGTGGTCATCATGTTGGTTTAACAAGGGAACGAACTTCATACAATTTGGCTCCAGAGGACTTTAGATCTATGCAAATAAGATACACTATTTTTTAAAAGGATGAAATAATCAGTGGAACAGTACCAAGCTAAGTTACATTTAGTGTTACAGGAACTTTGTGTTTAAAATGCAAGAAGGTCTAAATCTTAAAAATTTTCTTCTATGAAATGGGACAACTTTAAAAACATCTGAGATCAATCATTTAGAAAATCCAGTTTGAGAAAATATTCCTGGAATTGCTCCAACAGTCATCATTTGCCCTTTGCTGGGACTGTAGGTGGAGAGAGCTAGTTTGTTCATTATCAGATCACTGTGGCTCTTCATGGAAAGTGGTTATGTAATGCAGTGTGTGTCTCTTAAAATCTACATGTGATCTGGGGCTCTTCTTCGGAACAATGTTTGACAACTCTCCTTCCTCTTCTGCTTGTTAGACTTCCACCTTACATGCTTTTAAATCATACTCTTGCGTCATCACAGTCCCTTCCCCCCAAGGTTACATACAAGTTTGAGTTTATTTGTACAATAATTTTTGCCTTATTAAGTGTGGGACATTGTGCTAGCACTTAAGACATATTAACCAACAGAAACAGAGAGTGGTCTCAGCGCTCTTGCTAATTTCTTATATATTCTTTTAACTATTATGATTAAAATTTAGTTTTTAGTTTTTCATGAGTAATACTTTTTGTATTATAAATATGCACAAGTAATGGCATCACATAATACTGAAGGGTGAGTACACACTGTCGTATTTTACCCTGAAAAAACCTAAAGTTTATTTGATAAACAATACACATATGAAAACAGGATGTATTCTGGAATGTGATCTGGGTACTCTTGAGTGCACAGAGGACTACAGATGAGCTGGAGGGATTAGGGAAAGAATCTTAAAAAATACAGGCCTTCTATCTTTGAAAACAGGTAGGTTTTCAACAGGTGGAGATATGTAGAAGATATGTGGAGATAGACGAGGCAGTGATTCCTGGATTGCTGGGTGTTGGGTGTTAAAACCAGAAAGATTGGTTGGGAATAGAAGAGAGGAAATCTTTGATTTGGGTAATTTGGCATTTTGGTCTTTTAAGTGATGCATTATAGTCATTCATTCATTCAACAAGTATTGATCTAGTGCCTAACACATCTCAAGTGCTTTGTTAGATACCAAGTAAATTTCACATTCTTCTTTAATTATAGTGCCATATTTCTCGATGTTGCCCCAGCAAGTAACATTATTTATTCTTCTTTGATTGGAGAATAATGCTTCCATTTCCATTATTTTGGCCAAAATTTTCTTGTTTTTTAGAAATTTGGTCACACTTTTCTCTAATATAATTCCAAAGCCTTTTGGTTAGATTGTTTCAAAATTTAGAATGTTTTAGATTTTAGGAATCTGATATACATCTCTGTATTGGCCATTACATAAAGCAACATGTTTTAATGACATGCAGATATTTTTCTAGAAATTATATGTTAATGTCAATATATAAATCATTGTAAGTAAATAGATTACAAATAGACTCAAGTTAATTTAGTTCAGGCTTTGCTACTAAATAAATTTTGGTGACAAATTTAGGACAAAACTTTATTTACAAAGATTATGAATTTTAGAGATTCAAAAGATAATTGACTTTTGTTATGTGAGAGTAACTAAAATCCTACTTTTCCACTCTACATCTATGCTATTTTTAAAATTTGTTTTTACCTAAATGCAGCACTTTAAGCTTAGTAAACATCAATTATTGGTTCAATTAATTGCTTTGCTTTTTCATTAAATATATATCACAATTCTGTGTGTGTCTGATGCAGTCTGACTTAATCTTTCAATACATGCAAGTTCAGACATGGAGTTCCAGATTGACTAAATTCAGGCTTGGAGTACCAGAGTAACTATGTTGAGGGCTGGAGTGTCAGAGTGCTTAAGTTCAGGCCTGGAGTATCAGAGTGACTAAATTCAGGCGTGGAGTATCAGAGTAGTTGAAGTTGGGGTTGTGGAGTACCAGAGTGACTAAGTTCAGACTTGGTGTAGCAGGGTCACTAAGTTCAGGTGTGAAGTATCAGCGTGACTAAGTTCAGGCCTGGAGTACCAGAATGACTCAGTTCAGGCATGGAGTAGCTGAGTGACTGAGTTCAGGTGTGGAGTATCAGAGTGACTAAGTTCAGGTGTGGAGTATCAGAGTGACTAAGTTCAGGCCTGGCGGATCAAAGTAGCTGAAGTTCAGGCTGTGTAGTACCAGAGTAGCTAAGTTTAGGCCTGGAGTATCAGGAGGATCAGGCGGTCCTGCCGGTCCCAGCTCCCACCCTGCCCTCACCGCGGCTGTTGCTGCTGCAGCGCGTCTAGCTTTGTGCCTGCCCACGGCCCTAATGGTCCCGCCCTTCCCCGCTGGTCCTGCGGGTCTCTCACTGCCCTGCTCCCTCCCTCCTCGGCGGGGAGCCGCACTCAGGTCTCTCCTTTTCCCTGGTGACTCTGCCCTGCCCGCTTTCGCCGCCCGGTAGGCCCTGCGGGTCCCGCCCTCCCCGCGCCCGGAGCCCCCGCTTCCCACTTCCCTCTTTCGGCCCTGCGAGTCCCGCCCTTCCTGCGTCCGCTGCGGCCGCCCCGCCGCCGCTGGCCCTGCGGACCCCTCCCCCTTGCCCGCTGGTCCCCCGCGGGACCCTCCCTCCCCCCGCCCGTTCTCCCTCCCCATCCTCCGCCGGCCCTGCGGGGGCAGGTCCCGCACTCCGGCCTCCTCTGCGCCGGGCCTCTGGGTCATGAATGTTTCAGCGCGCGGGCTCGGGCCGCGTGCAGGTGCGGCCAGCAGGTTGTCGCGACATCTGTTGGCGGCGGCGGCCTCCCCAGCCCGCAGGGTTGACAGCGGAGGTGGCTGCGAGCGGCGGAACGTTTTGGTCTCCTCCTCGCTGCCTGGAGGCCCGAAACTCCAAAGGTAGAGCGGGGTGGACACAGCTGCGCTCCCAAAGTCGCCTTAGGCGCAGGCGAGAGATCTGATGTGGTCTGACTCCGCTGCGGTGGGGGGACGGGACCGAAAGCCACTTCAGAGACAACTTCACGCCGCAACATCTGCCGCCAAGTTTCCAGGGAGTGACAGGGGACAGCAGGTACAGATCGAAGTCTCCACAGAAACAGCCTCCATTAGGCCGCGGACTCTTTTGATGGGCCTCCATCAAACGCGCCGGAGTCCGCGGCAGGAGTTTGTTTGGTTTTCAAAGCAGTGTTTTGTTTTCCGCAATAACAAGGTAATTTATAAATGATGCATTACCACGCGCTCTCCTTTTTGATTTGAAAAGAGAGAGTTAGAAAAGCAGAAAGGCAAAGAAAGAAGAAAGCACAGCACTAGTGTTGGAGTTGTTCCATAAACCAATTAAATCTCTGAGGAGCTTCTTGGCTGTGATGGAGGTCATGTTAACCTTCAGACGGCAGGCCCGTTGCACCAGGGCCCGTGTGCCTGGCGCAGACAGACATCTGTACACTGCGGCGGAGAAAGCTGGTAACGCTCGTGAGGCACATCCACTGTTTGGTTTTAAACTTGCATCGTGGAGTTTTCCTGTTACATGGGGGTGAGGTTGAATTACATTTTTTGAAGACGGACATAACTTTTCAGTAAAACAAAATTTAGAAAACTGCCTTGACTTTAATTCGTTTTCTTTTCATAAAGACTTCATCCCTACAGTTGGATATTAAAGCCTTAAGATGAAAGTAAGTAGGCATTTGGGGGGAAGGTCTTTCTCTCCTCTCCCACCTACATTCCACCAGAAAATAAAAGTTAATAATGTGCTTACTTTTCACTAGACATATTGCTAATACCCCTAATTGTGCACACATACACGTGACATAATAGAATTGGTTAAATTATCCGTTCGACAGACAAGGAAGAGCTCCAGGGTATGGTAGGATAATAAGATTCTAGGGGAATGTAAATTATTGCCATTCATAGAATATAGTCCCCCTTACCTGATGAAGTGGCTACTTGACCACTCCGAAATAAAAGAGATGTCCTGTGTCCCTTGGAGTGGAAAGTGGTCAAGGAGCAATGACCTGGGGTTAGATGCCAGTGTGTGGCCCAGTTTTCAAGTCATTGGTAAAATAAGCAATGTGAGTACATCGTTTTCAGCATGTCAGTTGGGTTTTTGTCAGTGGTGCAGATGTAATTTCTTTTTTTGAAGTGATTGATGGCAGCTGCTTTTAAA